TTCCTTCCCTCCCTCCTTCCCTTCCTCACTCCTTCCTTCCTTCCCTCTCTCTTTCCCTCCCTTTCTCCCTCCCTCCTTCCCTCCCTCCCTCCTTCCCTCCCTCCTTCCTTCCTGTACATTGGTCATCTTGAATAGCATACAGCATGATCTATTTCTCTTTTCTTAACATTTCTACACAATATTTTTATTTTTGGAGTTTTAGAATAAAAATTGTCAAAAGTGTCATTCGTAGAGATATTTTTAATGTCCTTTCATGAATTGTTTTCTTTATTTTGATATATGTTTATCTTAATCTTGAAAAACTACTATCTGATTAGATTAATACTCAACCAAAACGGATATTAACTTGACATTGTGGTTTGCAGATTCAAGTGATCAGCTTTGCCACAGAGCAGAACTGGGACTCCCTTGAGATCCATGACGGTGGGGACATGACTGCACCGCGGCTGGGGAGCTTCTCAGGTAGGAGGGCAGTTCCTGTCTTGGCTGGTGGGTCAGAATTTGAAGCCAAAGCACATAGCAGCGCACACTCTGTGGGAGTTTCCTGCTGGGCTCCTGCGTCTCCGTGTGCTTCTCGAGCCAGTGGAGTGTGGGAGAGACCTTGTGGCTCAGCGAGGCGTGTCTGAACCGACTGGTGGCTCAGCCTCTCAGAGGTGGCCTTCTGAGGCTGCCCATGGACAGCAGAAGCCAGTGAGCCTGTGAGTGGGCAGGGAGAATTGGCACCAGTTCTGAACTGTCACCTAAGGTCCTCAGCCTGGGGAGTGACTCTGCACCTGGGCCTCACGGAGCCTTGTTTTTCTCGTCTCTGTACCCCAGGTGCCTCAGCTCAAGGGGCCAGATCTGGGTGCGGCCCTCTTGCTTTCCCCGGCACCTCCTGTGCACAGGTGCCTCATGCTGCTGGGTGCACCTTCCATGGTGACCAGGTGGGCTTCCTGCCCATGGTCCCTGAGAGGCCTCAGACCTGGGTCAGCTTTGCTCTGACCTGGCAGCTCATCCTGCCTCCTTGCCCCTGAGCTCCTCCCTATGTGGCCTTCCCCATCAGAGCAAAGGTGGCCAAGGCCGGCGTCTTCCAGGTCATAGCCCTCATCACGATGGCCAGCCCCTACAGAGCGCTGGTGTGCTGGCCCCTGCTCACACGCCTCCAGACTGACCTTGGAGATAGCACACAGAGCAAAGTTCTGTTGCTTTCCTCCTTTTACAAATGAGGGACAAAGATTTAAACCTAGAATTGTCCAAGATGACAAGTCATAATTCCCTGAGCCACACCCGTCTGCTCCTGCGAAGGACCATGAGGTGTGTCGCCTGTAGCCACCACTTCCCTGCCCCACCCTGAGAGGGAGGGCTGTTTGTGGAGTTCATTCCTCCATGCTCTTCGCCTGCTGGAAGGTGGGGCCTGTAGAGGCCCGGCCCTTCACAGTGTCCACTTGAGTTTAGTCCTGTCACTTTAAGTAATTCGGGGACCCTGTCTCTGGCTATCTGCAAATGAGAGCGCGTAGGTGTTAGGCAGTGAAGTGCCCCACGGCATTGCTGTTGTCCCCTGTGTGGTGGCTGTCCTTATGCCCTCTGCACCCTGTGGAGCTATCTCTGCAAATGGCCCATTGGGATTCAAGGAGATAAGGTCTCTGGCGTTAACTGTAGCAACATAACTTAAAATCTATAAATCTATAAGTAGGAGCCAGAGTCTGGGCGTAAGCAGCACTACAGTAGACTTCCAGCTTTGTAGGAGGGCAAAAGGAACACTGTTTCAAGATTTAGGGGGAAAAGGGGTATTAACAGATTAGTGATATGGCTTTGCAAATGGGTGGGACATAATGGGTGGGACACTCCCCGAAACTAGAAGGTGGCTTTGAGCTTGTGGTTCCACTACCCTCAAACTTGCCTTTGTTCTTCTCCCTTTTCTATGTTGTTCACTCGTTTTCTAGACATTTAAGCTTCTTGAGAAAATGTGTCGATCTGTCTTCATCACACACACTTCCTAGCTCCTATCATACTCAGTGGGTAAAACATGTTTACAGGGTATGTGTTCTGCCACTTTTTTATCTGCAGATTACATCTCACCGTTCACGCCTATTCCTGTGTATTAACCAACATGTAGTGGCCTCCTAGGAAGCCTTCTCTTGAATAGCTCCTGGACTCAACTTTGGAAATGAGACGCTCTGTTTCCTCATTTGTACTTGGAGTCAGCCAAGTTTTCAAATGAAAGCGTTTACTATGGAACTCAGTTTTCACCTGATATTCTCAGGCAGGAACGCGACACTGAACACACCCTAGATGCACATGAGCCAGCCGAGAGCCAGAGAAGGCAATAATGAGGCCGCTGCATGACTGAGCAAAGTTAGCAGGAAAGTGACTCAGAGCAATGGAGACGTGAAAGCGTTTCCTAGCACATATGCCAAGGAGTCGCACACCGAAAAGCAACGCCTCTTTTCACTCCTGTTTTTGAAGTTAGCAAAGAGAAATTTTCTTTAAAAGTTTTAGACGTGAAGACCACTGTAATTCAGTCCTGATGTCCTCTCCTGGAGTTAGGGTTAGCTTGCAGGGACTGCTCAGGTGGAAGGCACTGTTCTCCACCAACCACACAGAGACCAGCAGCGAGCTCCAGAGCCCCCCAGGCCGTCGGCGCTGGCCTCCGCTCAGGGGCATCCACCTGACACCTCTCTGAAGTAGCTCGGGGTACTCAGAAACCTTGTGCTGCTCCTTAGGATTGCCGTTCTACTAAAAGGGAACAAATCAGGATCAGCCAAGTAGACCCAGAGGGTGACAGCAGGAGGGGCCCAAGCTCAAAGCTTCCGAGTCCTCCGAATGCGTCACCTTCCAGCCACACTATTGTGGGTCACCAGCCAAGTTCCCTGAGCTGTGGGGCGAGGGTTTCCCTTGGTCTGGTGGATGAAGCTCTGCCTCAAGGTTGAATAGGTCTGCAGCCCTCTGCCCTCCCAGAGATCTGGAGGCTGAGCTCCTTATCCAACAGCTGACCCTTCCTGTGGCAGCCCCAGGGAGGGTCGTGGTGACGTGATCGTAACTGCGCTTCCCACCACACGTGACAGGGGCACACCTCCCACTGCAGGTGTCAGGGTCGAGCTCATCTGCTGGACCTCTGGGACGAAGTCCAGACAAACTCTTCACTACACAGTGACCACTACCAGCAACTACAGCTGGACTGATGCCGCTGCTCCAAGTTTGAAATAGTTCTAGATGTGAATCACGGAAGGAGACCTTCACTGAAATACTGAGGAAATACAGGGGAAGTGGAGTCTTGTAGCCTTGTTTTCTTGGTACTAGATTTGACCCCAGATTTTCTGAGGATGCTGGCCGATGGCTCTGCGATGCGGTGGCCAAGCCGGAGACAGCTCTGAGCTGGTCCTTGATGTGCAACTTAGGTGCTTTTCCAAAGTGGAGATACAGGTTCTTTACAGTACAAGATGCGAGGTTTGAATCTAGAAATTCTTCCGCCAAATAATTATAGAACTTGTTTGTTGCTTTCAACTTAATTAGTAGAAAAGACAAAGATGTAAACATTTCAGAAAACAAATTCTGGCTTAAACAGAAACATAAGTGAACCAAAAAGAATTCATTAAATAGTCTGTGAAGATGTAAATCTAATTAAAAGAAGGTAACTGGGCCCTAACAACATGCAATAATTTTGCTTTATATAATAACTTTTCATCCAGTTAAGACAGGATGGCGGATGAAATATCTTCATGTTCACTTAAGTGAATGAGGTTATATTTCACATTCCTTTCCTCAGAGCAGGTGAGTGGGTGCGCTACGTAGTATCTGACATTTTCTGAAGTTAAAGAGACCTAACGCATTTCATAGTTTCCCATTCACGAGTTGATATAATGTTGGGAGCCCCTGGGGCTGTCTGATGTTTTCTGGGGCGCCCCAGCTCCCACACAGTGCTGCTCCGCTGATGGAGCCAATCTCCGCCCTCCGTGCTCAGCTGGGCAGTGCAGTGGGCTGGTGCTGTGGGCCTGGTGCTCTGGGGGAAGCTCAGGGGCAGAGGCAGGGCCAGGACTTGGGGTTGTTGAGGCTTGCAGCCTTGGTGATACCCAGTGACTGTGAGTTTGCTCGACTGGAAAAAAAACAATCAAGAAAACCCTCAAACACGTGCTCTAGGTGGAGCATTAGTGTATTATATTAAGAAGTAGCCGTGAAGAGACTCCAGTTCCTCCTCCCACTCCCACGGGGCTCTCGTTCTCCTTTACTCACTCTTCCCCAAAGGATGGGAGACTGCTTGCTGGGGGTCTCAGGTTCTCAGGGGTGGGCCGCAGCGGGCGTAGGCACCGACCGGCAGGCCTTCAAACCATCTCGGCCAACTTCTCTTCTGCCTCTGGCTCTGCAAATAGATAGACCTGGTTTGGCAAAGACCTGATGTCCACAGGGCCTTCTACTTCACCCCTGCACTTCCCGGGTGAATCGTTGTGACGCCTACGTCATGGCTCTCTCCCAGCCTCTGGCCTGCCTTCTGTATGCAGAGCCCAGGGGGTAAGTCCCGAGGCCAGTGGGTGAGGAAATGACGGGCAGACAGCGCCGCAGGCCCAGGACACAGCTCCACACAGCTGCTCAGGAGGCGGCCTCTTGCTTCTGAGGGCTGTATGGTATTTGTCCGAATTTTAAAAAGAGAACTTAGTTTCACTTCTGCTCTGGGTCCTCCCTTGATTTGCTCTTGGTCAGACACATCAGGCTGTGAGGAATGGGTTGTCTGCACACTGCACAGGTATTGGTCATTTTGGTCAATTTTGTCAAGGGCAGAATGGATTTTAAGATTTCATATTGCCAACTTTCCTTTTCCAGTATTCTTTTGGGAATGTTTGGCACAATTGGGGACCAAGTGAGGAGGCTGGTCTGCAGGGTTGGGGACTGACATTCCCGTGAGATGGGAAGATCAGCAACTGAACACGTAGAACACACCCGGGGAAAACACACCCAGGCCTCTCGGTGCATTAGAATACACAGCCCGGGGAGGCTGAGGGCGACCTGCCGCGTCTGATCTGAGTCAGAGACGTTGACGTGAGCTATGGCATCACGTGACAGCTCTGCACATAAATAAAGCTGCACGTGTGGCACCCTGTTTCCTGCCTCTGTCTGCTGAGGCATGAAGGGCGACGCCCCTCAGCAGCGCCCCTCCTGGTCCCACCTGCGCTTCTCAGCCCGGCTCTGACCGTGCCCTTAGGAGAACCAGAATCCCTAGAGACCTGTACTCTCCAAGGTTGTGGTAGGAGGAGAATCACAAAGAGCCATTTGCCTGAACTAAAAATTCAGGACCCCTGGCTGAGGTAAGTAGGGAGGCAGGAGGCAGGAGGCCCCTGCTGAGGTCCAGCCGTAGACGCGGTGTCAGGGTCGAAGGCCATCGTTTGGCAATGCTAATGAAGATGATGAGAGCATCAGGAGGGAGCATCCTGGGTGCTGAGGATGGTGGGTGACGTGGGTGAGAATCACGACTGCCACAGTCTCAAGACCTGCCCCCCAAGCCCATGCTCACCGCAAAGGGGAAGAGCGGTGCCTTCCTGAGGAAAGAGTGCCAAGGTCCTGGATGAGGGGATGTGGCCTGGGTGTCACTGACAGCCCAGCTCCCCACAGACCAAGAGCAAAGCTCGGCTACCTGCCACGTTGTGGTTACTGTGGCGGGAGCTCCCACTACGGCCAGCACAGGGCACTGCAGGGCCAGGGGTCCAGCTCGGAAGACACCAGGGCCCTCTGGACAGAAGGGCATCGGTGCACCAGCAATCACAGCATCCTTGGCTGGCCGGTAGTTGGGACTTAGTGAGGGCAGAGCTTAGATGGCAGTGTGGCGTCGTGCTGGTCTGGACTCTGAGAACGGCTGGACAAGACACGAGTCTCTGTGTGCATGACTTGTTCACCAGTGGCTGAGGATAAAACCGTCCTAAGACAGGCATGTACCTATGTGTGTATTACAGATATTATAGAGAATAGTGTAGGCACCATTATCTAACAGACCAAGTGGATATACCAGAATTTTCTGTATTGCACTAGCAAGATTTCTTTACTCTAGAAATTATTTCAAACCTCTTAGAATGAGATTTTTTTGAAATTTTATGGAAAAAATGACAATCATTCAAAAAGTTTGTGTTAGAATGAATCAATATTTAAACAGGTTTGTTTCTGCAATGCTTTAAAGAGGCAGAGATAAAGGAGATATTAAACTCATCTTAGATGTTGAATAAAACAAATAAGAATGAGCAGGCATAAGAGGTTCACACTCCAGGAAAAGCGACTGACATCTCTAATAAATTCCATGTTTTGATTTTCCATTTCTACTTGGACAGGCATATGCATGTAGGACTTTTTGTAAGCCATTTAAAATCATTTTGGAAGTAGGCAGGTTATAAATTATAAATGAATAAAATAGAGCAAATGCATACAAATCTGTACTGACAATCAATATTAAAGGAAAGTAAACATCCGGGTGCTGGGAGTGGAATCTGCAGGGACCATAATAATAAAATTTCTCAGTTTTCCTCATTACGTGTTGTTCTATCTAGGTCACAGTAAAACAATGTGATCAAAATGATCCTGCCTGTGGCAACACTTTTAAAACCCTGCTCAGTTGCATTTAGCACCTGGGAATGAGCTCGTAGCAAGAGTCACTCTGGAGCCCACAGGAGGCACACGCAGTCCAGCTTCAATGGTGTCAGGAGTAGCATCCTCCTGGCCTCCAGAGAAATGGGTCCTGCTCACCTTGTGTCCCATCTGGGCCTCAGGACCCGCCTTGCTGGTAGAGCAGAGAGTGTGTATTTCACCCCAGATGCGCAGGAGGACTGTTGGGGGATCATTACTGTCATTATCCGGGAGGACATGATAATTCACAGAGCACCTTTGTCTCTGCTACTCATTTATCACACTCATGTAATAAAGACGGGTTGTTATTTTCACTGTATTAGGATGCATTGATTAGGATATATTAACATTTTGTGGTTGACTTAAGGTGATAGAGATGATTCATGTCAGAACTAGGTCAGAAACAGGTTTTCTGATTTTACTGAATTGCAACTGTGGGAAACTGACAAAGGGAAACTTCCAACAGTGTGTTCTGAATCCCTGTGTGCCATCGCTGTGCCGGGGATTGGAGCTACTAAATACACTTTGAGTCCTGGAAGCTAGAGTCTTATCTTCTGAAGGGGGACAGTGGGGAAAATGGAACCCCACGTGAACCACTGGGTGAGAGGGCTTCCTAGGTGGGAATCCGGGTAAAGGTACCTGAGCACGCACAGTGGCTTCTCGCTGGTCCCCGGGAGGAGCCCAAGGTGGGAGGTGGAGGATGATTCTACTTCTCTAAAGGCTTCACGGTGGACATGAGCAGCGGTGTGGAGACTGTCACCAAGTCCCCAGACTGTGGGCAGGGCCAGCAAGACATGTATCACCCAAAACCCGAAAGTAAGGCAGAGCGGGAGGACACAGCCCACGGGAGTGGAGCCAAGCAGGCGGAAGGAGGGATCCAGGCGCCTCCTTCTTTCTCTTAGAAAGCGGGTTGAGTGGCATGTAGAGGAGCCCTCACATCCTCCACGTCCTGCCCTCCAGCCCTTCGGGGCTCTCAGCGTCCTTCACAGCCACCTGCCCTGGCGGAGGGGCTGGGGCAGAAGAGGCTGTGCCGCGGACAGAGGAGGCCCAGGTCACCTCTTGGCAACTTCTCCCTGCGCGGGCACTCCGGAGTGGGCTCTGTGGTTCAAACATCCAGTTCCTTATTACCATTTAGGCCCAGCACAGTTGTTCCATTGTAAAATCTGTCTATCCATCATCTACCTACGACCTCCCTGTCTTTTTCCTACCTGTACTCTACTCCTATCTACCACTGTCTCCATCTGTATCATCCATCTATCTACCTACCTACCATTTTATCCTATATCTTATCTATGATCCATCTCCATGTATCACTAGCTCCCCCCTCTCTCTCTCTCTCTCTCTCTGTCATCTGTCACCTATCATGTTTCTTAGTCAAGGACAACAAAGAGGTTGAATCAGTGAGCACCCTCTGTTTCTCATTCAGCAAGTCCCTACAGTGGTCCAGGCCTGAAAAGGCCCATCATCTGGAGCCAACTCTTCTTGAGGCACAGAGCCCACGTCACAAGCAGGAGCACTAACTCCCCTGAGTGTGCGTTCACATGCTCCTGCAGGCTTTCTATCTGGAGAGCACTTAGTCAGCAAGTGGCTTAGCTGGGAAAGGGCTGGGGATGCCTGGGTGGGGAGATGAAGAAAGGCCCAGTGGCCCAGGACAGAGGGAAGGAGCACACACCAGGCTCATGACTATGAGCGATCTTGAAGTAGGAAGAGTGAATTATGAAAAAGGAGGTACTGAGAAGAAGCTAGAAATGCAGGCATGGTCAGATCATGCATGGTCCAAATCAAGGAGTCTGAGGTCCATGCATCATGGGCCATGCATGGGCCAAATCAAGGAGTCTGAGGTTTGGTCCTAATGTGGTCGGGAACCTGAGCATTTCAGCATGACTCTGCCATACACGTAGCTTTTAAAAAGCTTCCCGGTTGCTAAATAGAGGGTTCATTGTGCACAGGAGCGGAGCAGAGCCTGAGTTAGGGATGAGCATGGTGATGTGGCTAAGCCCACCGCTGGCCTGCACTGGCTGATGGAGGGGAAAATGGCCAGAGGAGAGGAGTCTCTTTGGGACAGGATTTAGGAAGCCAGCCAGTGAGGGCCTGACAGAGGGCAGGGGGGTCATGGAGAGGGAGGGAGCTTCAGGTGTGGTGGCTGCTGAAAGTGACAGGCACAGCAGGGGCCGAGGACAGCCACATGACAGACGGACAGGGAGAGACAGCTGGCCTTCCTGAGTGGCCGGTTCAATTAAAGCTATTGGAGGGTCTGGTGACATTCCTTAGAGAGCAAGCAGAGCGCCGTGTGTTTGCAATACCGCACACCCATTTTGAATAGTCACCAGCTGGCTTACTACTTACTACTCTTCCTTTACACACTAGCGCTATCTTTGGCGTAGTTCACACTAAGAACTTGCCTGCTCCGGGGTGAGTTTCACCACAGGGTGTTTCCTTGATGTCCAGCTTGCTTATGTCCTTGTTTACAGAATGGTTTCGGTGCAGGAGACGCTCAAGCATACATTTTCTGGAGAAGTCATTAAGCCTGCTTATCCTTCCCCAAGCGCGATGCACCCCATCAACCACAGGCACGGTCTTAACCTGCCTTCCCGTATCAGGGCATCCTCTGCCCCTTGGCCTCGGCATCTGTATTCCTCCCAGCACTCTGCAATGCAGGCGGGGCCCTTCAAGCGAAGCAAGCATTTTCCTTTCACACCTGTGTATTTGAAATCATTTGCAGATCTCGGTGGGAAGAGGGTTCAGTGTGAGCCACACGGGGCCAGAGCACGGGGTCCGCAGCAAACACTCAGACCAAACAGGAGTGAACGAGACCAGCTCTGGGAACATTTAGGTCCAAATGAAGAGGCCTGTGTCCTGTGCCGGGTGCTGGAGCTCTGCCCCTCTCTCCCACAGGTACCACGGTGCCTGCGCTGCTCAACAGCACGTCCAACCAGCTCTACCTGCGCTTCCAGTCCGATATCAGCGTGGCCGCCGCCGGCTTTCACCTGGAGTACAAAAGTAAGGCCATGCCTCTGTGTCTTTCATTGCTGCATTCATCACTTTCTAAAAGGAACCTCTGCTCATCAAGTAGTGACATTTTGTTGTTGAAAAACTATGAAAATGAGTCTTACAAAACCAAGGTTGCATGAAACCTTCCCAATGGGAGGTAAATTCATAGGGAAATGTGGAAGTTAGTTTCTGGAATAATTATAACAAACAACTACTATAATCTCATGTTGTTTGTATTAAAAAATGCAAAAACTGTAATATTACTAGTTTCCTATGAGTGATAACAAATATTCATATCAGCATCCAAAGACAGAGAATTTTAATTTCCAACTAGATTATGCCATAAGCCTCTTTCATTTATAGTCTCAAAGGCTGTTAAAATAAGAACAGAGAGCAGTTGCTTAGGGGCCTACTCTGCGTGCTATTCATTTTAATTAGAAGAAAGTATGGCAGAAGCAACACTAACCTTTCAGAAAAGGATGTGAGGGATTTAATAGTCTGATGAACAGGATGACAAAGGTCAAATGCTCACCGCTTCTTTGGCATCTGATCTTGCAGGTGAACCCTGCAAAAGTGAAGTGAGAATTTGCAATGAGAGGTTTATTTTAGGATACGTTTTCAAGCATTAAAAATGCTGGGTGTTGGCGTTCATCTCCTTTAATAAGCAGTTGCAAATAAGCAAATACACAGATGAGCTTTAATAAGTGATTTTTGAATTGAGACAAACGTTTTTCAGGATGTAGTGCAGGCATGCTTGGAAAGGCTGTTTCCAGCTGGTGATAAATATTCTGAACCAGACACAAACCACAGGCCTGTTTCACATTCTGGTTAAATTTCCCTACTTATTACAGGCATTTGCATGCAAGTTCATTCTAATTTATATGAGTAGGAATGCTTTAGTGGCAGTATAAAAGGATACTGGGAATGTTATTTATGTAGAATAAGTCTGGAAAAATCTGCTGTCTGATACATTTTGCCAATGTCTACAGATAGGAAAACGCAAACCTTATTTATGATAGTGTTGATAGATTAATTAATATATTAGGAATTTTATAATTGGTAAATGATTTTCTCCATCCCAAGTTGTATTATGGTTTCTGGCTTTTCATTCATTCTTCATGAGGTGACATGCTAGTAAAATAATTAGTCTATAATTATTCTACACTACTATCTAGTACTCATGTGAGATTCCGCTCCCCCAGTGTAATTATCTACATTTTACTTTATTCCTAGTCAGTATAGTTCACTGAGGAACTAGCCTATTTCTCACTGAAATGTGCCACCTTCAAGAATCCAAAGCCTTGCTTGAGAATCCAGAATCTTGTTTAATTACTTAAAGCATTTTTAATTTGGCCAAACAAAATGACACATTAGTTGTGATTTTCTTTTTCAAGCAGTTATATTTCGAGGCTAACTAACACCATGCTGAGAGTTCATGTCACTGGGTATTAAGAAAAGTCTGTTCTCTGCTCTAACCCTTCAAGGCAGTTTGAAATATGGATGTTATGATGTGTTTGTAGAATCAATCTTACTAACATCTGCATCAAACGACATAAGACTGTTGACACTATGTCACCAAAAGAGTATCTGTTGTTTTAAATTCATCAGTATATTTGACCATCTACCTTCTACAGATCTCTAAACTCATGTTTTTCACTAATATATATATAAATATATATATTAATATATATAAATACAAGATATGATATAACCATCAGTGTCTGCTTGATGCCTGGGCTTGCCTGGAGCCCCCCCAGCTCTGCCCATAGTCCTTCCACACCTCTCTGCACTTCTGGGTGGATTAAGGGAACCCAGAGCATCCTTCACCTGCCCGACTCATCACCCTGCCAAGGTCTGAGCACAGGCGTGGGCACAGCAAGCGTCTGCCAGGAACACTGTTTACTGAGCCCCTCAGTGGAGTCCCAGCCTCCCTGCAGGGGGAGGCCACAGATGTCACGTCAGCAGAAGATGGAAACGTGTGAAGGTCTATGATGCTCGGAGTCCACGGTGGAGGTCCAGTGGTCCAGCTCTGGAGGTGTGAGTGATGGCCGCTGCACACTGGCTGCCATCAGAGCAGCAGTGTGTTCTCACCTGGAGACGAGCCCAGCCTGAGCGCAGCAGGCCAGGGTTCACACGTGACGCTGGGGAATTGCTCAGACAAAAGCAGCTTCCCTTGAAGGGAAGGGCTAGAACACCCAGAGCAGGAAGGTTCCAAGGAAGGTGTGCAGATTCTCTGGGAGCTCCCATGGTGCAGGTGGGAGCTGGAGCCCTGGGATCCCTGAATGCCTACCACGTCCTTCAGTTACCGGTTATCTTTCCTTTCGCACCGAGCAGCTTCACCGGACATCTGAGAAGGAACACAAGGACCACACTCAGTCTGGTCTTGTTTTTGAAGAGAATCAACCAAACCAAAGGATAGCAAATACCTAGAGATTCTAGTGTGCAGATATGTGGACAAAGTGACATTGGTTTACTCTGGAAATTCCAAACCCTGTCCTAATGTGCCCAGCAGGGAACTTGCTGCTAGGGAGCAAGACGGGGATGACATTGTGGGCTCGTCGTGATTCCAGTGGGGTCTGGGGGAGCACAGGTTCAATACGTGACCTGACACTGGAGGCCTTGGTGTGCCCACCGATTTTTGTCTGTCTTCCCTTGTTCTCTGCCGGCTCTAGGGTTAACAAACCCACCTCCACTGTGGGCCTGTTAGAGCAGATCCTTAGGACATCCAGGGGTTCCTGGAGTTTAAAGCCACAGTCTCTGATGGCCCTTCTCACACATGGTGAAAACCATAGGAAGGAACCCTCTGACCCTCTCCTTCTGCCCTCTCCCTGTGCCCTCTGCTTCTGCCCTCCCCCTTAACTCTCTCCTTCTGCTCTGTCTCCTCCTTCCATTATGCTAATGGTGGCCTACATTTTATTTTTACTTATGTTATATAATGTCCACAAAACATATTTTGCTTTATATTCTCAATGATCTTTCAGAAAGTTTAGAAATGAAAAAAAAAAAAAAACCCAACTTTTGTATTTACCTTCAATTTTGCCATCTTTGAAGCTCCTCATTGCTTGTGTATGTTGTGGCTTCAACGTGTCGCCCCCACCCTGTGCTCATGGTTTGGAAACTTGGTCCCCAGTGCAGCTGTGTGGGGAAGGGTGCCTAAGGGAATGGGAATGGGGCTTTTCCAGGGGGTGGGATTGCCCGCTTGCTCTCTCCCTGTCTTTGTCTCTCCATTGCGGATGGCACTGCTGCAAAGCCCCCATCGGATGCGGCTCTCTCAGCCCGCGACTTCCAGACCCCATAGCTGGGAGCGAATAACTCTCTTCTCATTGTAATTTATGCAGAACAGACACAGACAGGGTCCATCCGAGTTTCTGTGTGAGGGTTTTCTGTCTCAAGAATGTTCTTTAGCATTTCTTTTAGTGCAGGTCTGCTGGCAGCGAATCCTCCTTATTTGAAAAAGCCACGATTCCACCTGCATTTCTGGGAGAGATTTTGCTGGGAATGAACGTCTTGGCTGACTGTGCCTTTGTTCTCAGAGTGCTTGGCTGTTTCTTCTTGGTCCTCTCACCGCAGAGTGGATGATGAGAAGTTGGCTCTAGTCCCTACGCGCATGCCCTGACCCTCTTCTCTGGTTCCTTCAAGGTTTCTTTTGGTGTATCTGTCATTTTTCCAGGTTGACTATGGTGTGTCTAGGTGTGTGTGTGTGTGCGTGTGTGTGTGTGTGTGTGTGTGTGATATTCTTCCTGCTTTGGGTTCTCTGGTGTTCTTGCATCTATGATTTGATGTCTTTTATTTATAAAAAAAATTCTTGGCCACCATTTTCCAAAATGTTTCTTTTTCCAGTTCTCTTCCTCTACCTCTTCAGGGACAGTGACGGCACAGATGCTGCCGCACAGTTCCCACGGGTTCCGGTGGTTTATTTGCTGTTCTGTTTTTCTTACGTAGTTGCCACTGACCTGTCTTCATCAGCACTTGGTCTTCCCTCAGCTGCATCAGTTCTGCTAACCAGTCCCTTAAAAGTGACCTTCGTCTCTCATTGGAGGATTTCCCCCACAGGATTTCCATGTTTTTACCATCTCTCTACCAAAATTGCCCCTTTCCCTTCAGGTACATCAGCCATCTTTTCCACTGGAATCGTTCCTATAATTTTCATGGTTATATTAACATCCATGTCTGATCTTCCCTCTCGTGAGCACGCTCTGAATCTGGTTCTATCCCTTGCTTTATCTCTCTGCATAGGATTGTCATTTCTTTCTTTTTTTTTCTTTTCGTTTTCTTTCTTTCTTTCTTTTTTTTTTTGTTTTTGCACATCTCCATCTTTCTTTGAAGCTGGACGCCATTAGAACCATGGAGACCCCCAAGGATTGTGTGCAGCCTGAGCTGAGTGAGCCTCTTCTGTGCTCTGAGGCATGCAGCCAGGCGGGAGTTGAGCTGGGCCAGGGTCTTGCAGCTGCTGTGGTCACGTGGGGCACGGCCTCTTCTGACCCTCTGGCAGTGAGGTCGCACAGGTTGGGGGCTAAGTGCCTGACCTTCAGCCTCCAGTCCCTGATGCCTTTTCTGCAGAGCCAGTCTCTCTCCCAAGCCTGCCCCTCCCCCAGAATTGCTGCTGCCACTTCCCACCTGCTGTGCGCACTGGGCTCAGGGAGTCCTTTGAGTTGGGCTTTTCCTGACTGTGTTGTCCTGTAGAATCTGCAGATCAATACAGGGTTCTCTCAGCCTTCCCCCCCCCCCCCCCCAGGCTGCCAAAGTCCACCTGAGGCTGGCCTGGGTGGAAGTTCCCTGCCAGTCCCAAGTGCTAGGAGACCTCGATTTTGGAGCAGTCGCAGGGTCTTGAGCTCCTGCCAGGTCCCTGGGTGTGGAGATGCTTTGCTATCCCTGCTCAGAGCTGCCTGCAGGCCCCACAGCACATGCCCCCAGGTGACGGGTTTTTCTCATTCACAGGAACCGGCAGCTCTGTTTCTGAGGGTCAGGAAGTGCCTGGGGTTCACAGAGCCCCGTCCTGGGGTCCAGGC